ACTTGTTTGGTTGTGAAGTCCTTGGAGGTTTCCAAGGCAATTAGTAACCCATTTTGCAGAACTCTACCCTCTGTTTTGCAACATCGTTTGGGGCGTAATTGATTTCACAAACGTTCTTTCCAGCCATCCCATTGGAGGTCGACCGTTGGAAAGGAAAAGGGTCATCTGGAAAATCCTATTTTCTTGTTTTTAGACAAAGCAAGTGGCACGCCTAACATCCAACTCATGTGGTAAAGGCCGGCTGAGGATTTTTGAGGAAACAATCCTTTGTTGGCACGCCCGGTGGGACAACCAGTAGGATGTATCAATTACAGTTCACAAATATTCTGTTCATACATTCAGAGGCGTCTAAAGCCATGCCACCGAGAAAGAGTAGAGACAAAGAGGTTCAGCCAGCCTAGGCTGAACATGAAAATGATCCCATCACTTTTCTCCTAGTGTCACCTTTGGCAAAACGGTCCTATGGCAATCCAATTTTCGAAGAAAGGGATGCAGACCGCAGAGATGACTTTGCTGAATCAAGTAATGTGTTTAGAGGTATGACTGAGTGTCTGGATTTAGCATTCAAATAATAGAACCAGGCTATGCGGAGACTTGTTGAGAGTCAAGCAGAATCCTCCAGACGTGAGGAAGAGTTAATTAGATAATGTATAGAAGAGATGAGACGGGTCTTTGAAAAAGGCACTAGGGTGATGCGAGAAACTGGGGAAGAAAGTCACAGACCACTGCAGGCTGTTTCAGAACAAGTGGTTGAGCAAGTGCGACAGCCCAGACCTGAGATCATTCCTCTAGTTGTTGAAATGCCCAGACAGATTCGGGAAGCCCCAATGCCAGCACTTGGGGGGCAAGGGAATCAACCTCATCCTAATATTCAACAGTAGCATTTTGTCATTGGTGAAGGGCAAAGACAACACCAATTGATGGAGGCTGTTACTCCTGTTGCAGACCATGGCCATCAACCTCAGCATAAGTATATTCTGCCAGTTAGGAAGGGAAATGTGGGTCCTCATCATCAACCTTGTCCAAGGGACTTTTTCTAGCCACAAGTTTCGCCACTCCAACCGGTACAGCGTGGTCTACAAAATCAACCAGCTCAATTCTTTAATAGAGACCATCGGCCAACCTTGAGGCCATTGGAAAAGATTGATAAGGGTATCTTGAAATTTCCAGACAAAGCGAAGGAAACCATGGGAATGGATGCAGACCCTTTTCCAGCTGTGTCTGTCGACGTGAATGTTGCAGACCTCAGGAGTGTTGCTAGAAATCGTAGTCTGCCTTATGCTCAAAGGAACCTTGCTGCTGAAGACTTAAGGTGGGTGCTTGAGGCACAGAGATCCAAACATAGTAGGAGTGTCAGGTCAGACCAACAGAGACTCGGGGGGCAAGGAAGGATCATTGTGATCAGGAACTTTAGCCCAGAAGGTGCCAGACGTTATTCAACTGGTACTAGATCTCCAAGGATGGTCAAACCGCCACTTAGGTCACCTTCCAGACGGTGGGAGAAAGTCAATCATCCCAAGTTTGCAGCCCAGAATCCCAGAACCTTGAGGTGTAGACTGCAGCGTAAGAGGGCTGACGAGCGAAAAAGGCAACAGAAGCAGGTGGAGGCTGAGGGAAGTTCATCTCCCAAACCACGCCAACCTACAAAAAGGAACATGGTGTGGGTGAGAAAAGAGAAAAATGAGGCTGTAACCCAGAATCTGCTAAAGGGGAATGACCAATCTCCAGCCTCTGCAAAGGTAGCGTCTCTCATTGTGAGTCAAGACGGAGTTTTGAAAGCAACTTTTGAAGCACAAGAACAGTCTGGGAATCATGGATCTGAATCAAAAGACGATGGCACTATTCATTTTGGGGAATTCTCAGTGAATTTGTCATGTCTGGTGCTAACATTACCAATCGTCTGTGAGTTCCCATAACAGACAGAAGAAGAGGTAATTGTTGTTCTAGCTCAAGATGATGAAGAGAAGGACATGGCTGACAAAATTGTGTTTGAAAAACCAGAAGAAAAGATTGCCAAACACATTAGGCCACTTTATATCAATGCTCACATGGATGGGACTCCAATCAGCCGTGTCTTGGTAGATAATGGAGCTGCAGTCAATGTCCTTCCAACTTGCATGCTCTACAAAATAGGCAAGTCTCTTGATGATTTAGTGCATACTGAGGTTACCATTAGTGATTTTACAGGAGGGGTGAATCGTTCAAGGGGTGTGCTGCCTGTTGAATTAACAGTGGGAAATAGGACACTGATGTCTGCATTTTTTGTGGTGGATACTGTTGCTACTTATAATGCACTTTTGGGGCGTGACTGGATTCATTCAAGTTGGTGTGTCCCTTCTTCACTTCACTAGAAACTGATTTTCTGGAATGGTGGCAAGGCTGAGGTCGTGTCTGCAAATGATAAGCCTTTTTCAGCCAACACTCACCTGGTGGAGGCTAGATATTATGAAGAAGACATTGGTACCATTCGATTTTTTGGGATGGATAGACATGGGAAACCGATTGGGATAACAGCATGCAGCAGACCGTCATTGTCTAAGCGTGTTGTAGAGGAAGTCTATGATGAACTTCTTCGGCCAACAACAATAATTCCTTATAGGCCGAAGGGGAAACTAAAAATTGAAGAAATCTAATGAAGCAAGCTCATTTAAGACAAGAAAGAGAAAAGGCCATGTTGGAGATAACAAAGAAATTAGCGGTCTATTTTGCTGAAAAAGCAATTCAAGTAGACAGGTCTGAAATTGTTCATGAAGGTGAGGAGGCAGACCAAGGTGATGAAATAACTTTGGAGGAGCTGGATCTGGCCCCAGCCAAGTTGGATGATTTAAAAGTTGAAGTTCAAGACCCACTGGAGGAGATCAATCTAGGGTCTGAAAGTGAACCAAAGGTAACATTTATCAGCGGCTCTCTTGAGCCGCAGACACGAGGTCAAATTGTCAGACTTTTGCATGAATTTAAAGACTGTTTTGCTTGGGATTACTTAGAAATGCCAGGTCTGGATCGAAAATTGGTGAAACATAAACTGCCAATTGTATAGAAGGATTTAGACCGTATAAACAGCCACCCAGACGCATGTCTGCAGAAGTCACTTTGAAGGTGAAAGAAGAAATTGAGCGGCTGGTAAAAGTTGGATTCATTCGAACATGCAGGTATGCAGAATGGTTGTCAAATGTAATGCTTGTGCTGAAAAAGAATGGAAAATTAAGAGTCTGTGTTGATTTCTGAAACTTGAATTTAGCTACACCAAAGGATGAGTATCCTATGCCAATTGCAGACTTGTTGGTTGATGGAGTAGCCCGTCACAAAATTCTATCTTTCATGGATGGTCATAGTGGGTACAACCAAATTTTCATTGCAGACGCAGACGTTCCTAAGACAGCCTTTCGATGCCCAGGTGCTGTTGGAACTTTTGAATGGGTTGTGATGCCATTTGGTCTGAAGAATGCTGGAGCTACTTACCAAAGAGCCATGAATGCAATTTTTCATGATATGATTGGTAAATTCATGGAAATCTATATTGATGATGTTGTGGTGAAGTCACATGGCGAAGCAGACCACCTGGTCCATTTGAGGAAGGCTTTTGAGAGGATGAGGCAACATGGCTTGAAAATGAACCCACTAAAGTGTGCCTTTGAAGTGTCTGCGGGTAACTTTTTCGGGTACTTGGTGCATGAGCGTGATCTAGAGGTTGACAAGAACAAAGCCAGGGCTGTGATTGAGGCAAAACCACCACAGAACAAGAAGGAGTTGCAAAGATTTCTTGGCCAAGTTAATTTCTTAAGACGTTTCATTTCTAACTTGGCTGGGAAAACCAGAGTCTTTTCTGCTCTATTGAAACTCAAGTTTGAGGCGGATTTTAAGTGGGAAGAACACCACCAGTCTGCCTTTGATATGATAAAGCGATACTTATCCAGACCACCAGTACTTGTACCGCCTGTGAAAAATAAGCCTTTAATTTTGTATATATCCGCCGCAGACGAGTCCATAGGATGTCTGCTGGCGCAGGGAAATGATAAAAAACAGGAGCAGGCTATGTATTACTTGAGTCAATGTTTGACCCAGACCGAAGTGAAATACTCTTCGGTTGAAAAGTTGTGTCTTGCTCTCTTTTTTGCTGCAATAAAATTAAGACATTATTTGATTTATTTTGAGGTGTATGTGGTTGCCAAGACTGATATTGTCAAATATATGTTGTCCTGCCCTTTGTTAAGAGGCCGAATAGGTAAATGGATTCTGGCCTTGTCTGAATTTAATTTGAAGTATATACCACAGAAGGCTGTCAAAGGGCAGGCACTGGCAGACTTTCTTACAGATCATCCATGTCTGGATGTGGAAGCAGACGAAGAAAAAGGGATTAACTTGTTTTCAATAAGTTTAGTTCCCTGGAAACTTATTTTTGATGGGTCTAGTACAGAAACCATGGCTGGAGCTGGAGTCGTGGTAATCTCCCCGTTTAGGCTGAAAACACAGATGTCTTTCCAGCTGGATATTGATTGCACAAATAATCAAGCAGAATATGATGCTTTGATTATTGGTTTTGAGATATTGGTGGAGCTTAAGGTATCCATGGTTGAGGTTATAGGGGACTCACAGTTAGTCTTGAAGCAATTGTCTAGTGAGTACAAATGTACTAGCCTTGCTTTAGCCCCTTATTTTGCCTTGGCTGTGCAATTGCTGGAAGAGTTCGATGATGTGTCCATCAGACACGTCTCTAGAGACCAAAACTATGAAGCTAATGAAATGGCCCAGATTGCTTCAAGTCTGCGAATTCCTGAAGGTGTGATGCAGAAAGTTGTAATAGTTGAAAAACGCAGTCTGCCATCAATTCATCAACGTGGCATGACAGTCTCTACTTGCAGCATTGATGTTACCTAGACAGACTGGCGCTTTCCAATTATACAGTACCTTAAGGATCAAAGTAGTAAGGTATCTAGGAAAACCAAAATGCAAGCTCTCAATTATGTTTTGATCGAGGATGTACTTTATAGGAGAGGCAATGATGAACTATTGCTGCATTGTCTGGGTCCAGATGAAAGTTTCCAGATGCTGTCTGATGCCCATGATGGGATTTGTGGAGCACATCAGGCTGGGATCAAGATGCGCTGGTTAATTCGCAGACATGGTTTCTTCTGGTCGTCTGTCCTAAAAGACTGTATTGCTTATGCTAAGGGCTGCAAATCTTGTCAGATCCATGGGCCACTTGAAAGAGTTCCAGCCTCTGAACTTAATTCTATTGTGAAACCATGGCCATTTCGAGGTTGGGCTATTGACTTAATTGGTAAGGTGTATCCTCCTTCATCAAAAGGTCATTCATTTATTATAGTGGCAACGGATTATTTTACCAAATGGGTGGAGGCTAAACCAATGAAGAAGGTAAACCAATATGATGTAATCAAGTTCATCAAAGAGGACATTATTCACAGATTTGGTCTACCAGAAACAATTACAATAGACCAAGGCACAGTTTTTGTCAGTCATCAAGTGGAAGCATTTGCAAAGGAAATGGGTTTCCGTCTATTAAATTCTACCCCTCATTATGCACAAGCTAATGGGCAGGCAGAGGCTTCTAATAAGGTGGTGATTAATTTTCTTGAAAAAATGGTGGATGACAATCCTAGACGCTGGCATGAATTATTGTCTGAAACATTGTGGGCTTATAGAACTTTTGCCTTGACATATGGCCATGACGCAGTCTTGCCAATGGAGCTAACAGCCAGGTCTTTAAGAGTGGTGATTCAGCATAATCTTCAGTCTGGAGAATATGATGAGGCCATGATGCTTGAGCTTGAGAACCTTGAAGACTCACATTTGACAGCTTTGGATAAATTTCAAGCTCAAAAACTCAAAATTGCAAAGTCTTACAACAAGAGGGTAAAAGGTAAAAATTTGGTAGTTGGTGACTTGGTCTGGAAAGCAATTTTACCTCTTGGCAAGAAAGATCACAGATTTGGGAAATGGTCCCCAAATTGGGAAGGACCATTCCGAATTCATGAAGTGTTGAGAGGGGGTGCTTATTGGTTTGAGTCACTTGATGGAGAGCTACATCCCAAAAAAATCAATGGAATTCATCTCAAACCTTATTTCCTCACAGTCTGGGAGGCAGGAGGCTTAGAGTTCCAAGAAGCTGTCTGAGCCAGGTTTATACTTTTGTCTGTGCATAAATAAATTAATTTGCTTTCATGTGTTTATTTCAAAATGAGAGCAAGTTTGATTGAGCGGCCATGACTGGCTGTGGATGGCTGGATGCGCTCAGACAGAATCAGCTGTGAAAAAGTTGGGAATGTCTGCTGCAATCATCTTGGAATTTAGCAGATTTTGCACGTGGCCTTTAAAATCTGAAAGGTAATTTAAAATTTAAACACTTGGATTTATTCCTATAAAACCAAGTGTTGGGGGGCATTGTTTACACCTAAAATAAACCAATAGGGTAAGGCCACGTGTCAAGGTAAAGCCCAATCATCAAGAAAATCAATAGGCTGGATTTGGGCTGGGTTGGCTTACAATTTAATGGCCCAGACGGATTTCCAAGGAGGTTGGATCTTAGGTGGCAGAAGATAAGGTTGGATCTTAGGTGGTAGTTTGAGTTTGATTTAAAATGGGAAATTGAGGATTTTTAGGTAGTTATCTTTAAGGTTGTTGGAGATAAGGTTAAATAAAAATCTGATAACTATTAAATAACTGCTAGACCTGCAATCCCATTATCAGATCATGGAGGAACAGTGCCGAAAATGGAGCAACAGTACCGAAGATCATGGAGAAGATCATGGAGGAGGTTACCAGCATCAAAGGGAACAAAAACAGAGAGAAGAGAACAGTTCACGGCCTGCCCAACATACACACAGACTGCCCAAAGCATGTTTTTCAGCTTTAAGACTGCATTTTCTAGATTTCAGCAATAGTTTCCAGATTTTCCAGATTTTCCAGATTAGTGCATAGCCTTAGCCTAGGTTTGTTCACCTTTGTTCATATTTTCTTCTGCAAATTCCAATTTAGATTAGTTTTTAAACATTTGGAAGCAACTTAGCCTTCAAAACAGGTCTGCCCTTTTGATTCGGTTAGTTCTTCTTCCTTTTATGGATTTAGTTATGTTATTCGTTCATGTAAATAGGATGAATGTTTTCTACCTTTGTTCTTTTGTTTTTGCACAATATCCAGATATGCAGTTTGTTTAATTTCAATTTCCAGATTTAAATTTATAAGTTCCAGACTTTAATCATTTCATAGTTTCTTCTTTAGTTTTAGTTATCATTATAGGCTGCGTAGTTGAAATCATTGTCTGTTATTTTACTTTTTCTGTTGTCTGCGAATTTAATCTTCATGGCATGTTATTTTCTGTTCTTTTCTTCATGTTAGTTTAATTGCTTTAGGATATTGCATTTATCTTAGGATTTGTAGCTTTTATTACACTTGTTTGGTTGTGAAGTCCTTGGAGGTTTCCAAGGCAATTAGTAACCCATTTTGCAGAACTCTACCCTCTGTTTTGCAACATCGTTTGGGGCGCAATTGATTTCACAGATGTTCTTTCCAGCCATCCCATTGGAGGTCGACCACTGGAAAGGAGAAGGGTCATCTGGAAAATCCTATTTTCTTGTTTTTAGACAAAGCAAGTGGCACGCCTAACATCCAACTCACGTGGTAAAGGTCGGCTGAGGATTTTTGAGGAAATAGAACCTATGCCCACGCCACATGCTTAGAAATCAAACTCAAAGGATTCATTTCAAGAGAACTCCAAGACTCAAGATTCTGGTTGCCAGTAATTATAGAGTCCAATTTCAGAATTTGAATAATTACCTTCTAGTTCACACTGACAAGTACATCGTCTTGCACTAAATGGCCATGAACAGAACCTCCCTTAGATGACTTGTTGTTAGGATTCAAAGCCACCTCCATGCCAAGTAAATCAATCATTCCCTCAGACCTAGTGAGTGAGCCTCCATCACAATTGACAAAAGCTTTTATACCAGTACATGATAGAGATATTGACAAGCCCGACTTGGGAAATAACAGAGCTAATGGTTCTAGATATTCATCTGCCATTCCTTTTTGTCCCAACGTAACCAAAGTAGGATCAAAATCTTCATGAACATTTTCCTTGCACTGTGACTTGAATCTATCTGTATATTGTCTCCAAGAAATTGATGTGGTTTCAAGTCTACATAACTCAAGCATTTCATCGAATGTCACGCCCCAAAACCCAAATCCGAGGCGTAACAAACGCCGTACACTCATGAGAGGGTCCCACAAATGCACAAGGCTCGGAACTTATCCAAATCACAAACTCTATTCTCGCAAAATCTGTTTTAATACCATAAAATTCAAGGTACAATCTATATTCCAAGAATGATAATATATTCCATAAATCTGTGTCCAACATGACTTAAACTCAAAATAATGAATCTAACTTACAAGGACAATCTAAACTCAAAATCTATATCCAAATGCAATAGCTAGCCAATTAACTCGTCACTCCCCTTAATCTTCGTGTCTTGGGTCATACTACCTGAAATGGTGGACAAGGGAAAACTATGAGATAAAATATCCCAATAAGTAAATGTATGGATAACCCGTGGGTAAAATTTGAGTATTTCAGGTAAACAGTTTAAACATAAACGGAATGTTCAATGATGAACCATTATGCAGAATAAAGTTCAGTAGTAGTCAATTAAACTTATAGCATGCCAACAAGTGCAATCAGAAAAACGGATATAAGAACGGGAACCAAATAGACGTCTCCTCTATAGGTCATGGCCAGTGTTATAAATCTCCCACTGGCAGGCTACAGAAATTACTAATGTTTAACCCCCACTAGTAGGATTACAGAAATTACTAGTGTTTAACCCCCACTAGCAGGATTACAGAAATTCCAGTGTTTAACAACTCCCATTGGCAGGAAGAACCGGCTCTACAGAAATACATGTCGACATGTGCTAGCGTTTAACCCCCACTAGCAGGATTACAGAAATAACATGACCACATAGGAGACAAAACAGGCAGAAGTTAACAGAAAAATCATAATTCACCAATCACTTTCAAATCATCAAGACAATCAATTAAACTTTCAAGTAGGCATGCTCAATTTAATGAAAAACATAAAATTTCACTTCAAATCAGTCATACTTGTGTAAAACGGGTTTAGTCCCGCCACCACTTCAAAAACAAATCAAAACATATTTTTAAAAACAGTACGGGCATTACCATAAATTTACTTACCTCACTAGGCATAAACAGGAAACTTGACCCCAGAGCTCTAAGCCACAACAGCACCTAATATTTCAAATAACCATGTTCAGACCTCACTAGAACATTAACAAAATATCACAATTTATGTCAATCTCTCATGACCGAACAACTCTAATTTAATTCTCATATAAAACTAAGGATTTCATCTTCTTATTGTTGTCGGCAAAACCCCAAAAATGCAATATTCATTTATTTATTTATTCTTTTCTTCTTTCTGAATTTTAGCATTAATCCAGATTAATTATACATATATATACACCAATTAAATACACATTTACACATATTTATAGCTTCCCAACTCACGGGCAAACAATGGGGAGCATGGCTTTTATTCAATTTTCCATCTTTGGCAAAGCAGTAGCTGAGCAAGGAAACTTTCATAATTCGTTGCCACAATTTCCATCTACCCGTAATCAACCAAACAATTTCCTCAGGATAAATAACATAGCATATGTAATTGCACCAAACCAGAAGTCCTTCTTCAGTCCGTGTTTGCACTTCGAGATGACCTGCAAAGCCTAGAGGTGGAACTCGGGGTAGACACTCCGATGCTTAAGTCAGCAATAATCGGGGCTACCTTTAGAGCGGAGATAAAAAGAGTTTAGGGTTGGTTTCAATTACCTTTTGACGTGGCCGGGGGGGTATTTATAGGATCCAATGAGGAACCCACGTGGCATGCCAAGCAAGATAATCGGAGCTTGACGTGTCTATCCAGACGATTATTTCGGGACCGGGAATTTGAGAAGTATTCAGGTGCAAGGATGTCCACCTTAATTGCTGTACAGCTCATCATAAGGGATCAGGTGCGGGCATGCTCATTGTCACTGTCATGCAGCTATTTGAGTGGGAAGCTTTGGATTTATCCTTCACTTCGGTCATAAAGGAATTACTGTATTAGTCCGAGGCTTAGCACCTCGGACCTGTCCTTACACTATTCCCCCCCCAAAGTCATTCACTTGTGAATGATATTGTTGGGGGATAGTGGGGGAGTGCATAAACAAAGAGAATTACGGATAAATCATAGAAGTAAAAGGAAGAAATAAAATTTGTAACTCATATGTGGACACAGCCGTAGCTAATGATGAAATATGTAATAGTGGGTTATACTGGGGGTGCCTTAAATAGAATATGATCAGAGCGATCATGGCCGTGGCCGTAGTAAAAATAATAACCAGAGTTAGCGTGGCCGTAGCCGTAGTAAAAGATGATGACTGTAGTCACGGTGGCCGGAGCCGTAATAAGAAATGATGACCGGAGTCATAACGTAGCCAAAGTCGTGATAAAAAATTATGACTGGAGTCATAGAGGTTGGGGCCGTAGTAGGAAATGATGACTGGAGTCATAATGGCCGGAGTCGAGGTAAAGTATGCGACAGGTGGTTGCAGTAAGTCACTGTGACCGCAGCCGAAGTGAAACACTGCAAGTTAAAAAGTGTAATTGTAAAAGTAAACAGCAGTGCTGAGTTAGACTTAAGTATAAAGACGGGAGTCATAATGGCCAGAGCTGAGATAAAATGTAGTGACCGGATCACTGTGGCCGAAGCCAATGTGAAATGTAATGCATGATTATTGTGGTTAGAGCCGAGGTGAAACACTTGCAAAATTGAGAATATGCAAAAGTGAACGAAGGTGTTGAAATGGGCGTAAGTGGGCCCGTTTGAAAAGTCTTACAGGTGTCCATGGAATAACGTGCGCAATTAATGCAGCCGTAAAAAGATAACTGGCAACTGCAACAATTAAATGGGCAAATTTTAAAAAATGAATCGTCGAATTCAAAACGGTACCGTTTGGGGTTGGCCGTCGAATTCCAAACGGTGCTAATAGGAATCGTAAGATTAAACGAATCTCAACCGTTGAGATCTAATTTTGCCCAGAGGTATAAATAGTCATTTTTTCTGCTGAAAAGAGGTTTACTTGCTTTTCTTTTCCTGCAAAACTTCTGCGAAAAGCTTTATTGTGCGTTTCCTGTGCGTGAACTGTGGCATAATCTGGGGATCCCTACATCAAGTCTTTCGAAACCGAAATCAGGTAATGTATATGAACCTCTAGTTTTGAGTTAATCGAAGTGTCTCTCTTCTTTCTCCCTTTCTGTGGTTGATTTAGAGTCCTTTGAAGGAAGTTAGGGTTAGAGGTGAGAAAGATTTTGAATGTGCAACAGAGGGTTTTCTCTCCCTTTTTTTTTTTTAAAGATCCTAACTTATTCCTCTCCCCAACTTCGTGCAGAGTTTGAGAAAATGTCCTTAGAAGGAGCAGTAAGTATAGTAGGGAGTGAGGTGATGCCTCTAGACTATGGGAGCATGGACTCAGAGAGTAGTCCATCTCCTTCTAGTTCGGAGAAGACGGTAGAGGGGGTGAGGGAGATGAGGTGGTGGAGGTTGTGGGGAATGAGGTGGTAGGGGTTAGGGGAGATAGCATACCCATTACCGTAGTAGAAGTATAGGGTAGAGGAGAGAAGGACTATGATGTAAATGCAGAGATAGTGGAGGAGGTGAAGCAATATAGGTCTGAACTAAGGACCAGGGATAGCCTGGGTCACTTAGTGGAAAATTATGAGATCTCGTCTCGAGTGTTAGTTAGGCTAGCCGGGGTAGAGGAGAGAGCGTGTTCTGCTCCTCGGGATCATTGGATGCCCATATATTCCCACTATCTGATAGTGGGATTGAGGTTTCCAATTCCTGAGTTGCTAGTAGGTTTGTTGTTAGATTATAATATAAGGTTGACACAATTAGTCCCCAATGCTATGAGGGTAATAATAGGATTTTTAATCTATTGTCGAGCTCAGGGGATTAGTGTGCCAACAGTAAATATGTTTAAGTATTTTTTTGTTTTAAAGGGGGTAGTAGGAGGGATAAGGGGTGGTATTATTTCACCCCTAGGGTAGCAAATAGGGAGAGTAGAAAATTTCTTTTTTGTAGATGATACGAAGTGGGATAGGGGGGATGCCGAGGTGAGGGAGTTAGCATCCTGGAAGGCTAAAAGAGCCAACCAGAATAGGTTTAGTTTAAACGAGGATGATGAGGAAGAAGTGAGGAAGCTAGTGAAGAAGGGGGGGATTTACTAAACATTATGGACCTCACCAGCGCACAATGCATAGAAGCTGCTGAGCTCTATGGGCCAAGCGCTTTGAGTGAAGGTTGGTTTAGTTTTGCATTGTAGTACTGAATGTAGAGTATAGAATTGTGATTAACATTGTGTGTTCTTACTTTGCAGCTGAAATGGATCAGTTTTTGAACACGGCTGGAGGAGTGGCTATCCCCAAGAAGCCACGGAAGAAGTCAAGGACTTCAACTAAGCAAGTGGATGAGGGGAGGGCTAGGAAAGTGGTAGTGCTCGCGACTTCAGCTGAGACAGAGGAGGAGGCGCTGCAGCTGAAGAGGAAGGGTTGGGAGGAGAGGAGAGGAGGAATGAGGTACCTCAGTTCATACCTCAGCCTCCTCCTGTTGAGCTGGGGCCTGAGCTCAGACAGTTAGAGGAGGGGCTGAGGTACGAGCTCCTGGTAAGGGAAAGGGCCTTGTTCCCCCAACGGCGTCTCAGAGCAACCTGTTCGAAGCTAAGAACATTACGGGGGCTAGGTGGTTCATCAACAACACCTTTCCCGAAGTGGATAAACGCAACGCGTAGGATGAGGCTCTGAGATATGGCGGAGCATCTGTTGTGAAGCACGTTTTAGAGGTATGTTACATTATTGGTGTTGTTTATTTAATCTGTTTCCTCTTCTTTCCTTTCTCTCTTAACTTCTACGGTGATTTGCAAAGCGCGAGCTGGGTGAATGGTCTAGCCCAGGAGTTCATGGATAGCATGAGGGAGCGCTCACTCTTGCAGAGGCAGTCTGACCAATTGCAGAAGGAGAAGGAGGAGCTGGAGAAGAAAAATAAAGAACTGCAAGAGTCGTTGGACGAGGTGGTTCCAACTGTGAAACAGTTGGAACAAGAGAGGGCTTCCTTGAGCACCAAGCTCGTCTTTGAGGAGAGCAAACGAAGGATCTTTGAAAGCGAGCGTGAGGCTCAGGCGCAAGAAATAAAGTTGATGAATGAGGCTTTCGTGGAGCTGAAGGGGAATGTGCAGACCTTGGTGCACAATGGGATGAAGGAGCACATCAACAACTTCATCAGCTCCAGCTCGTTTGACAACATTGTCAACTTGTACCGGCTGCCCACTGCCATCATTGCATTCACGGACTGCAGAAAGAAGGTGAAGGCAGAATATTCTGAAGTGGATATTACGAAGATCACCTTTGGAGAGCAAGAAGAAGGAGTGGAGGAAGACGGTGAGAGCATGTCAGCAGACTTCCGTCCTCAGATCAAACTGATGTGGGAGCGTGATGTAAACGAACGTGTTGTTTTCCCTCCACAATTTGACTTCGAGTTTGTTGCAGTGGAGGAAGAAGGGGCAGAGGTAGAGGAAGACGAGGTGGAGGGAGTGGAAGTGGATGAGAGACAACCAGTTCCAGAAGTGGAGATTCATCCAGTTCCTTCCAACGATGAGCAACCTCCTCTGCCAGACGAGCAATAGCCAACACAGTCACCTCCTCCAGCTGAGCAAGAGCCAGTTGAGCCACCTCTCCCAGCAGAATAATTTTGTTTTTTAATTTTTTTTGTAAAAAACATTTAAACAGTTTGTAATACTGTTATTATTTTGAATGAAAATTCATTTTTGAAATCATGTGTTTGTTTGTGTTTACGTTTTTGTTATTATATATGGATAGAAGAACTGAGACTACTGTAAAAAGGAAACTTAATCATTTCAGAAATAAAAGAAGTTAATCACTTCATAAACGAACTAAAGAGAAGTTAAGAACAAGTACATCACTGTAAATGAATTGAGGGGAGATAAAGCACTTCAAATGTGAAGTGACATTTATTAACAGAAGTGAGGTTTGAGGAATGAATGAACTGATTGACCTCAGATACATAGAATAAGAGGTAAAATGAATCTTAATAAACACGAGGTGAAAAGCGTAAAGAATAGTAAGACATAGATCACTTGAAAGAATTTTATTAGGGGCAAAATTTCTTCAAGTTATTGACATTCCAGACTCTAGGAACTCTCTTTCCTTTAGCGTCTTGGAGGACATAGGCACCAGGATGTGGCACCTCGAGCACGGTATAAGGGCCTTCCCAATTTGGGGCGAGTTTGCCAAAACGAGTTTCAAACCCTGTTAGGCCAGCTTTTCTGAGAACAAGGTCTCCTACTTTGAATGTTCGAGGGCAGACTCGTTTATTGTAGAAGTTGGCTAGTTTCTGCTTGTATACAAGAGTTTGAAGCTGAGCTTCTTCTCTGACTTCAGCAAGCAGATCAAGGTTTTCCCGAAATAGTTGTCCATTTTGTCCTTCATCGAAATGAGTGACCCGGAAGCTTGGGACTCCTATTTCAACAAGAATGACTGCTTCAGTACCAAAGGCCAAGTCCATTGGACTCTGGATGATAAACGGAGGTGAATTGTAACTTGATCCCATAATTGGAACAGAAATCTCGGAATGAGGAACAATTGAATTGAGTTCCATTATCAGCCACAATCTAATTCGGGATCCCATATCTGCAGATGATCGAGCTGAAAACAAAGTCTTCAACCTTCTTGGAGGTAAGACTAGATAATGGCCGAGCTTCAACCCATTTTGTGAAATAATCCACACCAACAACCAGATGGGTTACACCACCAACTCCTTTCACGAATGGGCCTAAAAGATCTAGTCCCCACTGAGCAAATGGCCACGGTGCTACCAAGTTCGTGAGCTCTTCTGCTGGTTGGTGAGTCAGATGTGCGAAGAATTGACATTTTGGGCATTTCTAAACAAAGTGAGTGGCATCTTTGTACATGTTTGGCCAGTAATATCCCTGCCTTAAGGCTTTGTGAGCTAGGGTTCTAGCACCAACGTGGCTTTCGTAGATACCTTCATGTACCTCTCGAAGTGCATATTCAGCTTCATAGGGATTTAAACACCATAGAAGAGGAAGTGAGAAGGATCTCTTATACAGGACTCCATCAACGAGTGTATACCGAGATGCTTTCTTTCTTAACTTCATTGCTTCCTGCCTATCCTCGGGTACTATCCCATCTCGCAAAAAGGAGATGATTGAATCAGTCCAGCTCGGCGTGCTAGGGTTTGTGCTAATCTCCATCACCCGAGGTTTCATGAAGCTTGGTTCATCTAAGACCTCTACAAAAACGGATCTGGAACTTAACGAGCTATTAGAAGCAAACTTGGAGAGTGAATCTGCTTGTTCATTCTCAGCTCGAGGAATTTTGCTTAGACAAAATTTTTGGAATTTGCATTTCAGCTCGGCCACTAAGGCTGCATATTTCACCATCACAGGATTAACAATTTCACATATTGAGTTGATTTGGTTCACTACCAGCTGGGAGTCACTTAATACTTGAATTGCACTGATTTTCAACTCTAATGCTAGATGTAGACCAAGTAGCAGAGCTTCATATTCAGCCATGTTATTTGTTGCATCAAAGTTGAATTTCAAAGCATGCTCGCTTCGATAACCCTCTGGACCAATCAAGAGAGCGCCAGCTCCTGAACCCTTGCTACTAGATGCCCCGTCAACATATAAGGTCCAGTCGTTGGGCTCTAGATTAGAGGTTGAGGGACATGGAGTGCATTCAACAATAAAATCTGCTAATGCTTGAGCTTGGATGGCCGATCTCTGCTGGAACGTTATCTCAAACTCCCCCAGTTCTACTGCCCACTTAATTAATCTTCCAGAGCACTCTGGTTTCTGTAGAATCTGCCTGAGAGGTTGATCTATGAGAACGATAATTGGGTGTTACTGGAAATATGGCCTTAACTTCCTAGCCAAAGTGACAACTGCTAATGCTGTTTTTTCAGCTATAGGATACCTCAGCTCTGCTCCGTGTAGTACACTGCTGATATAATAGATTGGTTTCTGCTGCTTGGTTTCTTCTTGCACCAGAACCGAACTAATGGCTTCATCTGAAATTCCTAGATACAAATAAAGAATCTCCCCATCTATAGCCTTAGTCAGCAGAGGTGGCGAGCTAAGATAAGACTTCAGCTCGTCGAATACAGTTTGGCATTCTTGACTCCATTTAAATTTTTTCTGTTTTCCTGATTCATCCTTCTGGGCGGTTGATCTCATAATTTTGAAGAATGGTAGACACTTATCCACTGACTTCGATATAAATCGATGAAGAGCTGCCACCCTTCCAGTCAACCTCTATATGTCTTTTACTGATTTCAGCGGTTCCATCTCGGGCAATTGCTCTTATCTTCTCTGGATTGGCCTCAATCCCTCTTCGGGACACCATGAAACCTAAAAAATTTCCCAACTCTACTCTGAAGATGCATTTGGCTGGGTTTAACTGCATCCTGTTCTTTTTGAGGCTGTTGAAGGTTTCGTCAAGGTCAGCTAGATGGTTTTCTGCTTTCAGGCTCTTTACCACGATGTCATCAACATACACCTCCAGATTCTTGCCGATCTGAGCTCGGAAGACAATGGTTACCATTTTCTAATAAGTAGCACCAGTGTTCTTTAAGCCAAACGGCATCATGACATAGCAATAGATTTCATCATCAGCATAGAACGAGGTTTTTTCTTCGTCTTCGGGAGCCATCGGCACCTGGTGATACCAAGAATATGCATCCAAGAGGCTTAACCTCTCATTCCCTAAAGCCGCTTCAACTAATTTGTCAATGCTCGACATCGGATAGCAATCCTTGGGGCAAACTTGGTTAAGATTTGTGTAATCAATGCACATTCGCCATTTATCGTTTGCCTTCTTCACCAGGACTGGGTTAACCACCCATTCATAGTAATCAACTTTCCTAACGAAACCAGCTTGTAGAAGTTTCTCTACCTCTTCCTTAATGGCCTAAAGCCTCTCCCCCCCAAAGAGACGTCGCTTCTGGGCCACTGGTTTTTTCAATGGATTGGTGCTGAGCTTGTGTTGAGATACTGAATTTGGAATTCCTGGCATATTTATCGAAGTCCATGCAAATACATCATTGTTAGCTCGGAGAAAAGCTATTAGCTCTGCTCTGCTCTTTCCTCCGGGTTCAATCTAGTTCCGATCTGCGTTTTTCGGCTCGGATCTCTGTTATCAATGAGCACTTCTTCAACATCTTCGATCGGAGCAGCCCTGGTTCATCCTCCGATCGATTATCCACAATCTCTACACCCATAACTTGCTGATTATCAGGAATTCGCTGGGGAATGGTCTCGGGTGTCTGATCTTTGCCCTTCGTTGGTTGTGTTACCAAGGTGATATAACAATGTCTGGCCACCTCCTGATTTCCTCGCAGTGTTGCTATTCCCGTAAGAGTTGGGAACTTCATGCAGAGGTGAGATTGGGAAACCACAGCTCGGATTTTTGTCAATGTGGGTCGGCCAATAACAATGTTGAAAAAGGTGCCATCTTGACAACGAGAAACCGGACTAAAGGGGTTACGTAGGTCCGGCCACTACCAAAAGCCACATGGATGGTAAGAACTCCTTCTACGGGAACAGGTTGGTTGTTAAAACCATAGATGGGACCATCATATTTCTGCAACAATGCCGGATCCAGCCCGAGACTCTCGAAACAGTGGAAATACATGATATCTGGTGCACTCCCAGTGTCGACAAGGACACGCTGTACTTCACAGTTGTTAATCATGACAGAAGTGACCAGGGGATCATTGTGGGGTGTAACAACTGTATCAAGATCAGCAGATGTGAAAGTAATGGGTTGATTCTTCCACTCAGCATCGTTAAACTTCCGTTTCTGAGCTTGGTTCTGATGCTTAACCTCTCTGACATACAGCTTTCGCTGTTTAGAGCTCAGTCCACCTGCTTCCAGAGCTCATGTGATCATGTGTATGATTCTAGCTGGTGGTGGGAGTGGAGGTGGGTTTTCCTGATATCCCACACCTTGTCTGTTTGGTGGGTTACAAGTTCCTTGAGGCTGTGGCCCTTGTTCTCTGACAAATCGTGGCTGTGCAACTCTCTGAACATATTCATTCAGCATTCCCTTCTGTGCTAGGCTTTCCAGCTTGGACTTTAAGTTGTTACACTGCTCTGTAGTATGGCTGTGATCCTGGTGAAAATCACAATATCTGGTATGGTCTCGGCTAGCAGCAGCAGTTTTCATTGGGCCAGGATGCCTTAAATCCATTTTATTCTTAATCTGCATAAAAATTTGTGACCTTGGCAGATTAAAGGGAATCCAATTAACTAGAGGTTTATCTGCAGATTGTGGCGGGGGTGTTGAGTTCGGCCTTCCGAATCTCGGTGTAGAAGTCGGCATCGGACCTCGATTCTGCGCCATCCTCATCCTTTTCCGGCTTAAATTATCATCTCTCCATTTTGGGTTCAAGTTCTTAGAAGGAGTCGAATTCTGTGCCAGGGCATACTCCTCAACGGTTATAAATTTCAAAAACCTATCGTTCACCTCACTAAAAGGTAGTGGCAGCATGTTTGATCAAACTGTCTCTAAACCTGTCATGTTTAAGACCGGAGATCACAGCTGCAATTCCTACAGCTTGATCAAAGGAACTAACCTCCAATACTACATCGTTGAACCTGCTCATGTAGTTTTTCAGAGATTCTCCATCCTTTTATTTAACTCGCATCAACTCAAAAGTAGTTTTCCTAATCAACTTTCTACTGGAAAACTTAGTGGCAAAGGCAGATGCCATTTCTGTATAAGAGCTAATTGATCTCGGAGGTAAACTGTAATACCAAGTTCGGGCATTACCTCGGAGAGTAGAGGGGAAGATTTTGCACATCAACGCGTCAGAGGCGTTCTGAGCTTGCATGCAAGAGTAGAAAGCATGCAGATGATCATCAGGATCCTTTGTCCCATCGTAAGTCTCCAGTTGTGGTATTTTGAAGCCAACAGGATAGGGTTCTAGTGTAATATTGGTGTTCAGGGGGTGAGGTATGGAGTCAACAGCATGGTGTGGGGGTGGAGCACCTCGGTGTTCAGCTACTAGCTTTTCTAAGCTATCGAGACGTCGAGTGACATCGTCATGGAGGGGTTGCTGAGTAGGTGCTATGTGGGATTGACCCTGAGATTCACTAATAGCGGGAGCATGCTGAACCAGTTGGGGATTCTGTTGTGGAGCTGGGGGTTGTTGAGCAGGGTTTAGTAAATTAATAAGGGGATCACCAGGATTGTTTCTAGCTAAAAGCTGAGCCAGTACCAACTGAAAAACACCGAACTGTTGTTGCATGGCAGCAAGCTAAGCTGTCACTACGTCTTGGTTGGCAGTGAAAGTTGAATTGTGGGCTGAGGTATGAGGTTGATTTTCATCTTCTCCTTCTGCATGTTCAACAGGAGGGAACATAATGGGGACCTGAGGTGGAAGCTGAGGTATGAGTTGAGGTGGGAGTTGAGATGGGATCAAGGGTGGAAGGTTATTGTGTGGTTAACCTTGCCCTTGAGGCAGAGATGAATTACCAGCTCGGACTGATCGAGTGTGAACCATGATGAAAGAGCAACTAGAAAGCTTTCAGTTCGTTTCTCACAGACGGCGCCAATGTAATTGCACCAAACCAGAAGTCCTTCTTCAGTCCGCGTCTGCACTTCGAGATGACCTGTAAGCCCCGAGGTGGAATTCGAGATAGACACTCCGATGCTTAAGTCAACAATAATCGAGGTTACCTTTAGAGCGGAGATAAAAAAAAGCTTAGGGTTGGTTTCAATTACCTTTTAACGTGGCCCGAGAGTATTTATGGGATCCAATGAGGAACCCACATGGCATGCCAAATAAGATAATCGGAGACTGACGTGTCTATCCAGGCAATTATTTCGAGACTGGAAATTTAAGAAGTATTCAGGTACAAGATGTCCACCTTAATTGCTGTACAGCTTATCATAAGGGATCAGGTGTGGACATACTCATTGTCACTGTCATGCAACTATTTGAGCGGAAGTTTTGGATTTATCCTTCACTTCGGTCATAAAAGAATTACTGTATTAATCCGAGACTTGGAACCTTGTAACCTCAGACCTGTCCTTACAACATAAAAACAACTTCAAACAACAAAAATGATTCCCGGGACAACTACACAGAATTCTACACGAATTAGCAACCCAAAACCCATTTTATGCTACCGAATTCTTCCATATTTCTGCAGAAATTCAGACAGCACAACAGAGGGTTTTCGGACAACACAGGGCAGCAACAAATTGATGAAATTTCAAGCTTAGAGGGCTGTTAACTTACCAGAACATTTCCAGCAATAGAAGCCGGATCTGGCGAGCTTGGCAGAGATCGGGAGAGGGGAAGGGATGTCACGGGAGCTACCAAAATTGAAGGAACAAGAGGAAATTAGGGTAAACCCAACCTAATTCAAGGTTAAAGAGAGGGATTCAGGCTTGAATCTTACCAGAAAACCGAACTCAACCCCCACACAGCAGCGGCCGGCGGACAGAGGGGAAGAAGACAGCGCAGATATGGAATTTCTGGGTTTAGGGGAGTGTTCCAAGTTCTAAATCTTGTTATTGAACAAGAAAGAAGGAGAATTTCAAGCCCCTTTTTTCAGTTTTCAAAGGAAGAGGAAGTCGGTGGCTTAAGGGGGCTTGTCGGGAGGAAGAGTTAGGAAGAAGAAGAAGATGAGGAAGAGCAAAACACGTGGCTGAGGAGAGAAATATTAGCCTCGATCCTTATCTTAATTTTTTTTTTGAAGTCCTTGAACTTTAAAAATATTTATTATTAAGTTCATTAATAGTATTTCTTCATAATTAGGTCCTTAACTCACACTTTAATGCTCTAGAAAATTTGGGGTATTACATCGAACATCTTGTGGGTAGAAGAGTTCAGTTCCCGGAAAGTCTGTTCAATCTCCACGACCTGGTCTCCTTGAGACAACAATGTACTTTCTCCTTCCATTGCATGCGCGATTTCTAAGGCAGGCAGTTGATTTTGAACCATTCTAGCGGCCTCGTTTGTGGGTTCATCTTTGGCAACCTCACAGGATATTGGGAAACCATCATCAGCAATAGGAGTCACTAGCGGTAGCTTCTGGTCAAGTTCCACAACTGCCAATTTATCTTGCTCTCCGGTGGTGGTTTTCTCTTGCTTTGCTTCTGCCACTTGTGCAATTTCACCTACGGCTCGCGGGATTTCTTGTTGTTCAAGTATGGGTTTCAGGGTGTTAGCTATTCCTTGAACGTCTTCCAAGCAAGATTCTTGTAGGAAGGCCAAGCAATATGCATCATACAAGGATTGGGGTTTGAATAACCTCACAGTTGGCTGGATTTCTTCCTTTAATCCTTCAACAAAGAAACGGACTGCTTGCTTTTTAGTGAGTGTCGTTTGGTGAAAGACAAGATCAAATTGCTCCGTAAATCCGCTCACTGTACCTATCTGCTTTAATGCCGCCAGATCTCCCAAGCCAAATGTGCCCAAGGATCTACACTCTCTTGAACTTGAATCTTTGCCATGTCCGAGGAAGAATGTGCTCTGATACCAATTGATGCAGATAAAATGAAAGATAAGTGAGAAAAAATAAGGAAAGCTCCAATTGGCTCTCGATAAATTCCTCTAGAGAAAATACAGGGAAATCTAAGTAGAAATTGAAAGAAAGATTTTCGATATATTCCTCGATATATTACTCTGAAACCCAAGGATTACAGATAGTTTCTCAAATGGAAGATTACAGAGGATAGAGGTTGGTAGACGATGAAGAAGAACAAATTTCTGAACTACTCCAAAAATGAAACACAAAACTGCTAAATATTCAAAACGACCTCAGACAAAACATAAAATGACGACATATAATTAATCCCACTTGGCAGCCATATCATCATCTAGGTCCCACATGCCTTATTCATTTACCACATATCACCTTGTCTGGGCATATTCGATTTACATTAATCGAGAATTAAATGGTCTTCAAGTTTCATTCACTTCTCTCGGAGATTTCAAAGCATCATCAGACAATATTAAATACCAAACAATTGCATGCTCTGATCGCCAAGACCCATCTCTCCGCTGATCCATTTTTTGCGACAAAAATTGTAAGGTTCTATGCGGTCAACGATGATCTTAGCTCTGCGCGCAACCTGTTCGATGAAACTCCTCAACGAAGCATCTTCCTTTGGAATTCCATTATACGCGCTTATGCAAAAGCCCACAAATTTAATAACGCGCTATCATTGTGCAGAAGAATGCTCAGAAGTGAAACCAAACCCGATAAGTTTACTTACGCTTGTGTAATACGTTTGTGCTATGAGAACTTCGATGTAGAGACAATAAGACTTGTTCATGGGAAAGTAATAGTTTCTGGATTGAGATTGGATTCCTTTTGCGGGAGTGCACTTGTTACTGGTTATTCAAAATTGGGCCTTGTGGGTGAAGCCAGCAAGGTGTTTTACGGGATACCCGAAAAGGATTTGGTTTTGTGGAATTCTTTTATTTCTGGATGCGGGCATTCTGGATTGTGGTATGAAGGGTTGCAGTTATTTCATTGGATGCGACAAATAGGAAAGCAGCCAGACGGGTACACTTTAGTTGGATTGATCTCAGTTTTAGTGGATTCTAGCTTGTTAAGAGTTGGCCAAGCAGCTCATGCTTTTTGTTTGAAAAGTGGCTTTGCTTCCAATCCTCATGTGAGCAGTTCTCTTGTAAGCATGTACTCAAGATGTAAGTCCATCGATTCAGCAAATGCTGTTTTTAATAGTTTACCTCAGCCTGATTTAGTTTCTTCGTCAGCTTTGATAACTGGGTGTTCTCAGTCAGGAGATTATAAGAAAGCAATGTTTTTCTTCAGGAAACTGACCATGGAAGGGAAAAAGATAGATTCCATTTTGGTTTCCAGTATTCTGGCATCTGCTGCTCAATCTGCAAATGTGTGGGCTGGCAGAGAGATACATGGTTATGTTCTTCGCCATGGATTGGAATTTAATGTCATGGTTTCCTCTACTCTGATGGACCTGTATTTCAAGTGTGGTTTTATGGTCTTGGGGATTCGTGTTTTTGAAAGTATGCCAGAAAGAAATGTAATTTCCTATAATTCACTTATTTCAGGACTTGGTTTGAATGGACTTGCTTCTGAGGCCTTCAAGTTGTTCCATGAGATGCTAGAGAAGGGACTAAAACCTGATGATTCTACTTTCTCTGCTCTGCTTTCTGTTTGCTGCCACAGGGGTCTTGTTGATGCTGGCCGGGAAATCTTCAGGAGGATGAAATATGAGTTTTCCATCCAAGCTAGAACAGAACATTATGTTTACATGGTAAAGCTCCTTGGTATGGCTGCAGAGCTGGATGAGGCATATGATCTTGTGTCATCCTTGCCAAAGCCAGTGAACTCTGGCATCTGGGGAGCACTACTATCATGTTGTGACATGCATGGGGACTTTGAGTTGGCAGAAATTGTAGCACAGCAACTCTTTGAAAATCAGCCAGAAAAAGGTGCTTACAGAGTTAGCCTTTCTAACATATATGCTGGCAAAGGGAGGTGGGATGATGTGCAGAAATTGAGGGATGACATAACAGAACTTCAAGTAAGGAAAGTGCCAGGGGTTAGCTGGATTGGAATTTGAAGGAATTAAGTCAACAATCCTCATGTATACCACTAACTGTCAGCAGATTCCTCAAGGTTTGCTGCCGCAAGTGGCTTCACCCCACAAACATTTACTTTTTTGCACATTTTCTGGTGCAAAAGAGCTGTGACTTCAACTGGCAGTGATTTCCAAAGGCTTAAGGGCTTGTAAATCTGCGAACACTGCCAGAAGTTCACTTCTATCATTGTTGGTTTTACTCAATCCAAGATATTTCACGTCTGCTGCTCGATGAATCTGGAAAGCTCTTTTTCCAGTTATCTTCTTGATATAATACCTCTAAAGCTCTTGCACACAGAAAAGATAGCTGGTTCTTCTTGTGTCACTGTTTGCCAACATACGTCTTTGATCTCTGAGTGCAGAAGAGATATCACTTTCCTCAACCAATAGGGAAAGTTTGATCCCAGTGTGAAGAACTCTACCAAAGCCTCAGCTCTTCCCTACGAAGCAGACTGACAATGTCATGTTAACTGTCAAAGGTACTCTATTTCAGACAAATATCTTGCAAACTTTTTGAAGGTTTTGGATCTTATGCGTTATGGATACTCATTTCATTTCTCTCCTTTCTTTGTAAAGTTGAGATGTGCTCTCTAGGCTGAACCAAGTGATCTGGTATTAAGATTTCAAAAGTAGCCTTACTTCATTTTCAGCCCAATCAAAAGAACCCAGAAGAAAAGTGAAAGAATTATATGATGATAATGGTGCAAGCTGAAAAAATTTTCAGTAATCAGTGCTATCACTTTAGATTCTCAGGAATGGTTCATATTATTGTTAGATACAGTAACACAAAAACCAATGTGTGGGATGCTCTTTTTCTGAAATGCCTAGCTTGTTTTGAATTTATAGGGCAGATGAGAAAGCTTCCCTTTTCAATTAGAATCAAAATACCCGTGGCAGAATCATTATGCAGACCTTTTCAGAACAGGATGTGGAAACTGCTACGAGATCTATTCCACCTGGTAAATCACCTGGACCTGATGGCATTACTGCTGGATTCTATAAATCAACCTGGCCTATCATCAAGGATGATGTAGTCATGACAGTGCTTAATTTCTTTGAGAGTGGGAAGATTTTGAGCCAAATAAATGCTACAAATATCGCATTAGTACCTAAGGTCAGTAGTCCTAATTCAGTAGGTGATTATAGGCCAATTTCTTGTTGTAACGTGGTGTATAAAATGATCTCCAAAATTCTGACTCTGAGATTAACTGAAGTCTTAGGGTTCTGGTTAGTCAAAATCAGGCCGTGTTTGTGAAGGGAAGATCAATTATTTCTAACTTCTTGATTAGTCAGGACCTCTTGAGAAATCAACATAGAAAGAATGGCCCTACTAGTTGTTTAATGAAGATTGACTTGAAAAAGGCCTATGACTCAGTTGATTGGGCATTTATCGAGACTTTAATGCATATCTTGGACTTCCACCCTAAGTTTGTTTGTTCAATGGGTCAGGCTATGCCTGTCTACAGCCAGGTTTTCCATTCTTATTAATGGACAGCTCAAAGCTTATTTTGTGGAGAAAAGGGTCCTAAGACAAGGTGATCCAATTTCACCCAATCTCTTTGTGCTGGTTATGGAATATTTAACAATGAAGCTAAAGGAGCTAGAAACCAATGAGCTATTCAGATATCACACAAAATGCAGTGCTATGAAACTAACTCACTAGGCATTTGCTGATGATATCATGCTGTCATCGTAAAGGTGATGCAATTTCCGCCCATCCTGATATCATGCTTTCAAAGGTGTTTGGCTTAGAGGTCCATGCAATAAAAGTCATTTTTGGTGGCGTTGGTGATCATGTTCAATGTTGCATTATATAGAAGTTAGGGTTCGTGGAAATGAATCTTTCCTATGAAGTATTTAGGACTGCGCTTGGTGACTACAAGGCTATCACTAGTGACATGTCAACTAGTGATATGTCACTAGTGATTGAGAAAGTACAGCAAAGGATCAGCTCTTGCGTAACAAAATTTTTATCCTATACAGGTAGAATCCAGCCTATCAATTCAGTATTGTTCAATTTGTATGAATATTAGAGTGGTGCTTTGTTACTGCCAAAGAAAGTTCTCGTTTGAATGTTAACTCTTTTTTGTAGAAATTTTATGTGATTGTAGGAATTTTATATTGACTCTAATCATAAAAACAGTTAATAATAGCATAATACTCGTTCTAGTCTTTTTAGGGCACCCTTGGTGGCAAAAACTTTAACTCTTCACTTTATTAAGTTTAAAGGTTTTAGTCTTTTATTTTATATTATAACAATTTAAACCTCTTACCTTATTAGATTTATAGGTTTTAGTTCCTTATCTATTAAAATAAAGCAAAAAATAGCCGTCACTTTATACTTACTGTTAATTCTGTTAACTAAAAATAGATTTTTATTAACTAATAGTCAACTAATAGTAAATTAATAGAATTAATGAAATATTATAAAGTTAGTTTTGTTAACTCTATTAATTAAAAAAAAGATTTTGATAGCTAACAATCCACTCACAGTTAACTAACAAAATTAATAGTCAACTAACAAAATTAATAAAATGTTACAAAATAAGGGTTGTTTTCTTTAATTTTAATAGGTGAATGGTTAAAAATGTTATAATATAAGGTGATGGGTTAAAATTTATAAATTTAGTAAAATGAGATGTTAAAAATATTATAATATAAGATAAAAGATTAAAATTTTTAAACTTAATAAAATGAAAAACTAAAAATAGATTTTTGTCACGCTTGTTTTCCTACTACACAAGAAAATATTTCTTGGGAGGCTGCACGTATCTGAGTCGGCTTGGCTTGGGAAAAATTTTTTCTAGGCACAAATTTTAATGAAGCATGATAATTGATTATAACTAAATATAGCTGGTTATAAAGAAAAAAAAAAAAAAGAATTTTAGGCCTCCTTGGTTACGCCGGATTCTAGAATAGGAATTTGAACTAGCTGACAAAAAACGCAACTTGACTGGTCTTAGTAAAACAATTTTCTTGAGACAAAAATTTGTGTGTATTATAATTGATTATAATAATTGTATAACTGGTTATATGTCAATTTTTTTTAAAAATTATTTTTTAAAAGTTTTTTTT